GTTAGGTTTGTGTGATTAGTGAGTGGTGTTAGGTTTGTGTGATTAGTGAGTGGTGTTAGGTTTGTGTGATTAGTGAGTGGTGTTAGGTTTGTGTGATTAGTGTAAGGTGTTAGGTTTGTGTGATTAGTGATAAGGTGTTAGGTTTGTGATTAGTGTAAGGTGTTAGGTTTGTGTGATTAGTGTAAGCATGTTGGAGGTTGTGTGATTAGTGTAAGCATGTTGGAGGTTGTGTGATTAGTGTAAGGTATTAGGTTTGTGCGATTAGTGTAAGATGTTAGGTTTGTGTGATTAGTGTAAGCATGTTGGAGGTTGAGTTTGTAAATGTCTTGAGTACGTTTGTTAAAAATTGCTGAAATTATTTGTTGAGTTGTGTGAAGTAGCCTTGCATGTTAAAAATTAATAGATAAAACTTTAAAATACTTTCAACTTTCAGGACAAACATTAGAGAAGATTGGTGGTAAAGAGTTCCAACAAGAAGTCAAAGATTTATTGGCATCAAATGGTCCTCTTGATACAGCAGGAGGTGAGTATTTTACTTCTGATTTTTAAAGAAATAGATATTACATGATATCTTTTCCTTCTGTAGTACTTAAAGTGTGTGTAATATATAAATTGTACAATTAATTCTTGACGATAACTAAATGTAATATGGTACGTGATATCCTACTCTTTAACTGTTTAACTTTTTATATTGTCTTCACATGGAAGTATATAATGCATCTTCAATGGGCAACCTTATGTTTTAATGCTTGCATTTTGTATGTACGTCCAAGATGTTTATGTACTCTATCACATACATGCTTAAAAAACTACTAAGTTAGTGTCATTAAAGAGAATGAAAAACACGTTATTATATAGAAAAAAATACATTTTTAACATTTATTTATTGTAATTTCAAATAAATAATGTACTAAATGAACACCACATAACATTTCACTGGTATGATCCAAGCAGGTCCATTGTTCACATCATATTACTCCAAAGTATATATATATATTGTGCTCCATAGTCCCAGAGTGTGGATATATCGTAAGGGTGATTAGTCAGACACAATTTATCCCATGAGTTAGTGCTGTTGACTGACTGCCTTCCCTCTAGTCTGTTAGTTCACAATTAGGGATGGCTAGCACAAACAGCCCTTGAGTAGCTTTGCACAAATATCTGAAAACAGACAAGTAGTATACACTCCGACTGAGTGCTAAGTTTGCTATACTAAATACAGACAAAATAGTATACACTTTGATTGAGTGCTAAGTTTGGTATAGTAAAAAACACAAATAGCATACACTGACTGAGTGCTAAGTTTGGTATAGTAAAAAACAGACAAATAGTATACACTCTGACTGAGTGCTAAGTTTGCTATACTAAATACAGACAAAATAGTATACACTTTGATTGAGTGCTAAGTTTGGTATAGTAAAAAACAGACAAATAGTATACACTCTGACCGAGTACTAAGTTTGGTATAGTAAAAAACAGACAAATAGTATACACTCTGACTGAGTGCTAAGTTTGGTATAGTAAAAAACAGAAATAGTATACACTCTGATTGAGTGCTAAGTTTGGTATAGTAAAAAACAGACAAATAGTATACACTCTGACCGAGTACTAAGTTTGATATAGTAAAAAACAGACAAATAGTATACATTCTGACTGAGTGCTAAGTTTGGTATAGTAAAAAACAGACAAATAGTATACATTCTGACTGAGTGCTAAGTTTGGTATAGTAAAAAACAGACAAATAGTATACATTCTG